TCTCTCTCTCTCTCTCTCTCTCTCTCTCTCTCTCTCTCTCTCTCTCTTTAACTCAATCTTACAAACAGACACATATAGAAAAATCCATAATCATTGCATAGATTCAGAGAAGAATCATCTTTAAAAATAAAAACCAAAGAAAAACAAACAAACCAACCAATATCTTATTGCATTTGAAGCTAAAAAAAAATCAATTATCAATCAATCAATCAATCGATATGATTGTTTTATCAATTTGGCTAAAGTTGATCAATTTTGTTTTTTAGTTAGCCAAAAAAAAAAAATATTTTGAGCATAAACAACAACAACTGGAATTCAAATGAATTGAATCAATTTTCTTTCTTTTCTTTTTTTTCATGTTTCAATAATTTTATTCTTTTTTCTTTCTTTCTTTTCATTAATTGATTATCTTCGTTGATTTCCAATAAAAAAAACAAAAACCGAAAGAAAAACAATGGAACGACCATTCATATCAAACATTGGATCGATAAAATTGCTGATAATTACGATTATATTCGTATTATTTCAATTAATCTTAAATATTAATGCACAACAGGAATTAACAATGACAACAAAACCATCATCATCATCATCATCATCAACATTATCGATGGCCAAAACAACAACATTATTACATATGAAATCAACGGATATTGATGATGATGATAATGATAATAATAATAATTATCAAGAAAATCTTCGACGATTAATTATACGACGAAGTCAACGACAACAACCACAACCACAACCACAATCAACAACAACAACAGCAAAAACAACAACAACAACAAAACTAGGACGATCACTTTATGATTTACGTGAACCATTTAGTTTTCAACAGGATAATGATTCTGATGATCCAATATCGGATCAACAATCATTACCAACATTACCACCGTGTTTTGATATAACAAAAAAAATGGATACAATGTTAGAAATTATTGAAAATTCATTTGTAAAAACAATAGAAAGAATTGATAATTTAGAGAAAAAAATGCAAACAATGCAATCAACAATAACAACAAATCTAATTGAATTGATTGAAAAAAGGTAGGGTTTTTAAATATGCTCTATTATGTTTGTGGTAACTTTTTTTTTCTCTTTTACCAAAAAAAAAAAATCTCTATATAGTCAATCGATAAATAATCATAAACATCATGAATCCGAAACGATAAATAATTCAAATTATCCATCAATATTGAATAAAATGTACAGTATTCATCAACAAACGTATCAGGTGTGTAAAGATGCAGTTGTATTGCCTAAAGATAATATGCCAAATTGTCCAACAATGACAGCCGTATGTTCAATGATACGACAATATAGACAGGATAAATCAACGGATGAATCTTCGGATATGGTTACTGTTAGTAGTAGTCATACTAAACAGGATTTAATTATTTCGGCTGGTAATAATTTTGGTAAAAATCATCGTGATCATCGTAGTTCATCAACACAAAAACAACAATTTGGTCGTAGTCATCAACCATCTGTTGATGATGATTTAGATGCTGAAGCTATGCGTGAAGTATTTGGTTTGTTTGCTAATTGGACATTAGATCAATATGTACAAAAAATGCATAGAAATGTTGCAGAAGAATTAAATGTATTTAATTTTCAAATTAAAGAAAAATTTCAACATTTATCTGAAAAATTTACTAAAATGGATATGTTACTTAAAGTTGGTGATCAATTATCATTATCAATATTAGATATACGTGATCAACTTTATGAAAATCATTTAACAATGAATAAAGTATCTGATCAATTACAATCATTAGATAAACAACAACAATGTCCGGCCATTATTCAAAATGATGATAATCATGAAAATGTTAAAAATATAACCAACATACAGATTAAAGATTTATTAGAAGAATATTTTGAAAAAATTTTCCAACATTTAAATAATTCATTACCGATGACAATGTTAAAAACATCATCAAAACGACAAACATCACCCGGTATTATGAAACCAAAACAAGATGAAACAAGTTCAACAGTTAAATTTTTAACATATGATACGGGTAATTTACAACCAGCAAGTATGTTAATATCACCAAGTTATAAATCAATACCGATTAATGAAAAAAATATTACTGCACCCGTATTTGAACCACAAACACGATCTGGATTACAAAAATCTAAATGTTCCAGAGAAGCTAATGTATTTTATCCAAGTTCATGTGATGAATTACGACGTCATGGTGCTACCTGTAATGGTGTTTATGTTATTTTAGCAGCTAGTTCAAAAATGAAACATGTTTATTGTGATATGGGTCATAATGATGGTGGCTGGACAGTTATATTACGTCGTGGTAATTTTAGTTCATCAAAATATTTGCTCAATTTTAATCAACCATTTCATCAATATCGTGGTGGATTTGGAGATATGCATGCAGGTGAATTTTGGATTGGTTTAGATTTTGTTCATCAGGTAACACAAAGTGAACCACATCTTCTTCAAATTGATTTATTGGATATTGAAGATAATTATGTTTCAATGGTTTATGATGGATTTTTTATCGGTAGCAAAGATGATGGATTTAGATTTTATGTAAGTTTATATATTTGATGATCAATTAATTTCTTTAAATATTAATTATTCATCAAATAATAATAACAGGTTAAAGGAATAAGAAAAGATTTACTATTAAGCAGTAATCCAAATGTTAATATAACAGATATAGCATCAATTGTATTAAGACATAATCGTACACAATTTATTACTGCTGATCATATAATACCATTACAACAACAATCAATGACAAGTAAACAACAATCATTTTATCGTGAATGTTCAACATGGTTTCATTCTGGTTGGTGGTATGTTGCACCAACATGGTCAACAATTTATGATAAAGCACCATTAATTGATACATGTCGTCATTTAAATCAATTTCAATTAATGGCACCATTACAATCAAATCATAATCATTTATCAGTTAAATGGAATAATTGGTATTATGATGATCAACATACAATTAGAAAATTACGTTATATAATGATGAAAATTCGTCCAAATAATCGATAATCATAATATCAGAAAATTTTTTTTTCTTCTTCTTCTTCTTCATATTGAATCTACTTTTACTAGTCTTTTAATACAAATCTTTACCAAATATTTCAAATGTTTTTTTTTCTTTTCTTTTTACAATTTTTGATTTTTTTTCATGTTTTAAATCAAAATAAAACATTACAAACAAACAAACAATTACAAATATAATTAATAATAATTTTTATTCACATAACAATGGTAAAAAAAATGAATAAAATTAAAAATTATAAAAATTTTATAATCGAAAAAAAAATCAGATCCAAATGAAAAAAAAGGTAATAAATTCAGTTTGAATTTCAGGTGTGTTTTTTCAAGCAGTCAATTCAATGACGCAATGGAATTTTTCCATATGCCCAAAGATTTGGCCGTTCGATTGATTGTCGCCAAAGATTTCGTTCTTCATTACTTGCACCTTGATGAAAATAACAAAAATTTAAAAAAAAATTTCTTTTGTTTTGTGTTTTCAGAGGTAACAAACCTTCATGATTAGTTAAACGAATACTACCCAAATATGTTTTGGATGATTTATCCAACCACATGATTGCAATTTCTAATTCTTTAACATTCATATCAATTTTATTGATATTATTGAACACAATTGTTTCATTCCAACGTGGACATTGTCCCATTTTTACTGTTTTAGTTTTTTGGCGATCATCTTTGTTACGTTCTGGTTTTAGCATTCTTTTTTTTTAAACAAGAAAAAATGATATGATTAGAATTTGAAAAACAATGTAAATGTAAATGTTTTTTTGTTTTTACATACACTTTACAATATGAATAGCCATTAATGTTATATTGTGTTAGATTTAAATCATCAGCTTCTTTGATCAGAACATGTAATGAACCTGAATTCATTTCATCATTGATGACCGATGATGATGATGATGATGACATTGCTAAATCTTCATGTTTTATTGCAACAAATAAACTACCTTTTACATGAACTGATTGACATTTAATTTTTGTTGGTTGCTAATTGAAAATTAGATTAATTATTTGGAGAAAAAATATTGGTTAAATATAATTTATACTTACATAAAGATCATGCCAAATTCTTGTTTGAATTGAATTCAACATTACTGAATCATTCAAACGTATTAATGTTTGTCCAAGTAACATATTTCGACCAAATGTATCATTATTCCAAATACTTACACTTAATTGTCCAGAAGAAAATTCACGCCATTTTCCTTGAAATCTTAATATTTCATTATATTCTACTTCATATAATGAACCATTACTTGTTTCAACTTTCAATGGTCGTTTAATTTTTGTCTTTTTTTTAAATGCTTTTTCCTGTTGATGATCAGCAATAATATAAGTTTTTATATAACTATAATAAATAAATAAAATTGTTGTAAAAAAAATTAATTAATGTGATGAAAATTGATAATTAATAATCATTATTATTCATACAGATCATTTTTATTCTTTTTAATCATATTCAAATGAACACGAAATATTGTTATTGTAAGTGAATTTAATTTTGTTTCATAATAAATTGATAGACAAATTTTTCCAATAATAGCCATATTGTTGTTGAAATTTTCATTCAAATCATTCGATAATATGAATGTTGTCTGCCAAAAAAAATAGAGAAGATGTTAATGATATTTGAGAAACAATAAAACAAACAAAAAAAATGCAATCAAAAATCAATCAGAAATTAATTAATTATTCATACATACATTATTTTGATTTTTTTGATCTATACCATTACTATTATTATCATTATTATCATTATTTAAACTATACGAACTAATCAATGTTGGGGTAGTTGTTGATTGTAAATTATTACGAAAACTTGAAAATTTATTTACGAATGGTTGTTTTAATTGTTTGGCTATTTGATTATGATTATGACTACTACGTAATGATGTTGACGATGATGATGATGTTAATTGTGTTGTTTGACTAGATGATGAATGTATGACTGTTGTTGGTATCGTTGTTATATTGGAAGTAGATGATGATGTTGATGATGGTAAATTCGTTGACAAATTATAGCTAGCTACAATTTCCTTATTACCTAAAGTATTTGTTCTATTCATAGTTGTTGTTACCTGATTTGATCAAATAAAGGTAAGGGGGAGAAAAAAATGCAAATATTTTATTTTTTTTTTGTGATTATTCGAGAGAAAAATATTATTATTATCAAACATCATTACATTTTCACATATAATACATGATGATTTTGGTCGTTGAAAATTTGTTGATGTGATTTGTGATCCAGATAATGATCGTTGTAATCGTTGACAATTTCCTTTTACACGTCCGGATGGTGATAGTCCTTTTTTTTAAAAAATATCATGACCAAAAAATCAATAAATTTAGTCAATGAAAAAAAAATTTAAAAGCTAAAAAAATTTACCATTCAATCGAGATATCAATGGATTTAAATGATGATTACAATGACAGATATTCTCCTGATCAACCCATAAATCTTTTTCCAATGATTGTCGTGAAGAATTTCTTCGATTCAATTCATTTTTATCGACTATAATTGTTTTAAGAATTTCCGATTGATTTGTTTCATTATTTTCTTGTTTTGTACATTTTATGTTATTATCAATTCCGTTGACACGAGTTTCATTTTGTGGCATAAGTTGTGGCGTAGATTTGGAATGAAAAACTTTTCCATTTAAATCATTCGATTCATCAAGTAGTGCATCAATATTTGATACATTTATCATTTGATTTTTATCTTGTTTATGTTTACTTGATGATCCATTTAGATTTGGTTCACTTAATGATTTTGATTCATTTTCATTTTCGATTGAAATTTTTTTACGTTTTTTCGATGATTTAAATGGATTTCTAAACATTTCATATAAATGATCTAATGTTGAATTACTAAAATTTTTAAAACTATTTCTATGTCCATTTGATGATGAAATTGATGGCACTTTAGATTTTGTTTCATCATTTGTTTTCAATCCATTACGACTAGTATGATTCAATTCAGGTTTTTGTTGTAAATTATGCGTTTGTATTTGTAGTTGTTCATGTGAACAGCTTCGTTTGGTTATAAAATGTTCATTGATATTACCATTACCATTGCTTATCAATGATGGATGTATATCATCATTTATTTGATTATCATCAATAGTATCATCATCAATTATTGATTCATTTGTCCAATTGCTAACACTTATTTCACCATTGATTGAAGATTTTTTATCATTATCCAATTCTTTATTGATTGGTGAAATTTTTGCTAAAAAACTTCTATTCAATGGATTTGAAACACGAAGAAATTTATTTAACTTATTGACCATTGTTGTTGATGTTATTATCGATGTTGATGATAAAGAAAGTGTTTCAATATCCATACTATCATCACAATTATCATCATCAACATTATCATCATTATTATTATTATTGATCAATGATATTGATGATTTTTTTCCATGACAATCACCTGATTGTTGATTGTTTATATGTAATATTGTACGATATTCAGGATTCTTTGATGATTGACGAAACAAATCGTTTGCTTTGTCATTAGTTTGTAATACGCGTATTGATGAATTATTATTATTATTATTTGTTGAAAATCGTTTCGGTTGATTGGAAATTGATTTTATTGGTAAAATTTTCGGTAATATTGACTGCTGCTGTGATGATAAAGTATCAACAATAAAACTGTTTTCAACAGTAGGAACTAATCTTCCATTGACAGTAACTTTGATAATAGTTTTACCCAATGACGATGATGATGATCGATTTTTTAATATTGATGACGAAGGAATTGACCATGTTCGTCGTGGTACAAATTCCTGTGACCAAAAATAATAATCAAATAATAGATGATTGATCTGTGTGTAGCGATAAATTTTTTCAATCATAAATGTTATTAGAAATGATTCAAGCTTTAAATTTGTACAATAATTTGTTTTATAATTCTCATCATAATCATCATTATTATTGATATTTTGTTGTCGTGATAATCGATAAATTATTCGGTCAATTGACAATCGATCATCATCATCATTATTATTATTAACATTATCATTATTATTAATACTGTTACTATAAATGGCTTTCAAACTATTTCTACCGTTTCTATTGTTAAAATAACAATAGTCTTTATTATTTGATAATTTTAGCATCAAAATCATTTTAATGATGAATCTTTTTAAATCTAAACAAAATAAATAGCTTAAACGATCAATATGTTTGGAAATTATCGTTAAATATAAATTATCATCTTCATTATCATCGTTAATTGTTGTTGTTGTCATTATTATTTTTTTAGAAATTTTTATTGATGAGATCATTTCGTTAAGAAAATTACATAAACATTCGATTCTATTGAATTTTTTCCTTGGATGTTGTTGTTGTTGATGATGATTTTGATCACCAACTTCATCATTATTCATCAACGATTTCACTTGATGATGATCCTAATGTTATTGAATAATTTAACAGAAAAAAAATAAATTTTATCATTGAAAAACTGTGTTTTGAAAAAAAACTTTACCTCAATTTTTTTCATATTCATTGTTGTTGTTGTTGATAAACCATTAATATTAGATGTTTCCAATAATCCACTTGTAAAATATCTTTCTAATTTTGATGATAATGTAATTGAATCATTATCAAATGTGGATAAATTATCGACTAGATAATCTAATTCTTCTTCCATTTCATCTTCAACATAATCATCATCATCATCAATATCTAAATTATTCCATTCAGAATATTTTTTTCCATTAATCAAATTATGATTTGTATTTGTTGATGAATTTTTTAATTCAGATTTTAAATCATTACTATCATTATTATCATTGTTATTGGTAATGACAATCGAAAATTGTTGTCTTTCCAATAAATTTCTTTGTTTTGATTCATCATTATCAAATGGTAATAATTCTTGATTATTTGATGAATTATCTAATGAATGTTGTTGTTGTTGTTGAATACTATCAGTTTTAATTGTCATCGATGTTGATGTTATTGATGATAATGTTTGTAATGAAGATTCATTTTCTGATTCTTCATAAATAGTATGTAAACTATAAACCAATGGATTACCATAAATTGATCCATTTGTTAATATATGTTGTTGAATTTGTTGTTGTTGTTGTGGTAAAAATGTTTGTAAACCATATGTACGTGCATCTGTTAATATATCTGTTTGATGTTCATCATTTTGATATATTGATATTGTTGAATCTAATTGTATTAAATTATTATTATCTGTTAATTGATTATCATCATCATCATCTTCATCATAAAAATATTGTATTGGATGATATGAATTATCATCAATAATCAAATCATTTGGATGATAATGTTGTTGTTGATGATGATCATTATTATCAAAAATCATTATATCAGGATTAAATTCTTCATCATCATACATATTTATTCTATTGGAATTTTCAACCAAATATTGTTGCTGTTGTTGTTGTTGTTTATCATAAAATTGTTCATAATCATTATCATAATCAATATTATAATTTGCATAAATTCCTTCATTATCAATTGGATGATGAGAATGTTGAAAATTTCTTGGATTATTAATTGGTCTATCTAATTGAAAATGTTGTTGTTGTTGTTGTTGTTGAAATTGAATAAAATTCAATTGATTTGTTTGTTGATCGATATCATGATGATCATTATTATTATTATTATTATTCAATTTTTGATCTATAACAGGTGTATCCGAAATATTATTATTAGTAACAACTGATTTAACATTATGATTTAATGTTAAATCGGTAGATGTTGATGCTACTGTTGCTGCTGTTGGCGTTGTTGTCGTTGATGTTGATGACATGATGATGATGATGATCAATAACAATATTTTCGGACATTATTCACAGAAAAAAAAGAAGATATTTATAACCATTCAAAGAAGAAGAAGAAGAAGCAGAAATCCTAAAATTGGCTGACAACTAAGACTCTGTATCTGAAAATGGATGAATGGATGCAAAAAATATAAAGAAAAATCATTATTTATGAATGGAAAAAAAACCAAAAACCAAAAAAAAAATTGATAAAAAGAAAACAAAATTATCTTTAGCTGACAAATGAAAAAATAGAAAAAGAAACTTTCATTTCCCATTTTGATAATGATTCGAATGAAATAAGGGAAAAAAAACATAAACAACATTATGGAAAAACTTTGAAAAAAAAACTGTCATTGATTGAATTTGTTCATGCATATTTTTTGTCTGTCTACCATGGTCAAATTGGTATAAATATTGACAACCAAAATGGATTAGAATCATATAATCAATCAATCAAATTGATCGATTTTGGAACGAATGTTTTCACTGACATTACATTAGTAACATTCAAAAGGCATAGAATGATCTTGAAAAATTGATAACGAAAAAAAGTAAATTAATTTTTCTGTTTTTTGGAAATAATAAAAAAAAAACAAACACATTCGAATCAAAAAACAAAAAACGACAATAACAAAAACTGAACACGTGTAAGCTGAAATGAATGACAAACTTCCAAATGGAAGGTTGCCTTTTTCAAAAAAAGAAATATCCAACTTTTTTCATTCATTCATTCATTCAGTGGAAATGATATTCATTAAAACTCACAATTTTCTTCTTTTTTTTTCTTCTTCAATATTGGTTGTTATAATAACGGTGATAAATGGTAAGTTTACTTTTTATATTACAATAAAAAAAATCAACAGGTAAAACAAAAACAATAATAATAAAATTGAGCTGCTATGGTGATGATGATAATAATGGTATCCACAGCATTACAATTTACAATTTGCTCCCATTTATCACAATTTCTATTCACAATTAAAGATGATGATGATGACACTAAATGTATGATGACAATAATTGCCAGTCGAATATTATGTATTTTTTTATAACGTACATAAAAAAAACACTGTTATTTTTTGACAGTTATCGATGAAATTGAAGATTTTCTTCTTTTCTTTTCTTTCTTTTTTTACCACCATATAACGTGTTTGATAACTGGTAAGATGATAGTCGATTAACTACAATGACTACGACAATGACGACGATAATATAGAGAGCATGGATCCAAATTTGTGATCATATTTTCTATTTCTATTTCTTACTTCTGTGTTTCAACAACAACAACAACAACAACGAAAAAAAAATCTATCGCTACCACTTGTATTACAGCACAAAAAAACAAAGAGACAGTGTTGTTTTTTTTCGGAAAAAAAAATATCTAACCATAAACTTCTTCGAACAACAACAAAATCCAACAACAAACAAATATATAAGAAAATAAAGAGAAATGTCTTTAGGGCTATGAAAATCCCCATTTACAAAAAAAAAAATGCAAAATAAAAATTTTTTTCAAATTCTTTTTTGATTTAATGAATCTTTTTTTTTATCATTTTATCATTGTGTGTGTATTAGTGTTGAAATGGTTAAATGGATTTTTTTTTCAATACACAAATTGTATGCCGCGCTAGTTTCTCTTTTTTACTCTTTCGTTTTTTTTTATAAATATAAAATAAAATCTTTATATTTATAATCCACCACTATCTTTTCATCCGTAACATATATATTTTTTTTTGTTTTCTTTTTTCTTCTTTTGGATAATTTCTTGTTCCATTAACTTGTGTGTGTCTGTGTGTTATCTTTCTCTTTGGTCTGTAAATAATATTGAATTTATAGCCATAAAAGTGTGAGAATCAAAAGAGAAAGAGAGAGAAAAAAAACAAAACAGAACAGTAGAAAAGAGAATCAAATTGATTTGAATAAAAAAATGTTTAAATAAAGATTTAAATGAATGGCGCCCAAATAAATGAATCCATATGTAGTAGTTGTGACAGAGTAGAGTAAATATACAGCACAAACACTTGTTGTTGAATGAATGAATCTAACTGGATTTTTTTTTATTATTCGATCGGTGTTTACTGTGTTCATTCGATAAATATGACATCTATCTATCTATTTCTCTCTCTTTCTTTTTTGCATTGACAATCTCTCTCTTTTGATATAGACTAATTTTTTAAACTAATAATTCTTCTTCGTTACAATGCATGAAAGAAACCAAAAAAAAAAAAAAAAAAATTTTTTGTTCACCTGTTGCATTTGATAAACTTTTCTGTCTCTCTCTCTCTTTTTCCATACATGTGTTTACAT